ATGGGGGCGGCAAAGAAAGTGAACCCTATGTGGGCAAGACGGTGCACAACCTAACGAGGCACGCACGCTTTGCCAAACATTCTGGCCTGATAAGCGACAAGGACAACAACCACATAACACCGTCGTCGATTTCACAAAATATGAACCGAACTACAGTCACCATTTCAGTATGAAGGACGAGGGAAGCAGACGCGGGCTTTGGCGTGCTTCCAGTGACTTGTTTCGGTATAGAATTTTACAGCTCTATACAAATGCAGAAAGAAAGGGTTGATGAAGTGGTATTTGTAGCCGCTGCCCGAACCTCTGTGCGGCGCGCTATGAATGAATCTGTCGATGGAAGTAATCATTTATGGCAAAAACAGCACAGACCGCATTAGTTAACGAGCGATTGTTCAAAGTAGTCAGTGCATCATTTATTACGCTTAATATGATAAGTAAAGAATGGGACGACACAAAAACAATCTCAATCGTGCGCAGTACACAAAAAGCTAGTGTTTATCGCCAGTCGAAGTTGATGGTTTATCGCTTAATATTAATGTACATTCGTATCTCCGAAACCCCAAAGTAGTCAGATTCTGAAAGACCCACGTCCATATTTTACTTTCAATTGCTTTAGGTGCAATAATTAATTAGAATTATAGACGTTTTTCACAAACTGACTGGTAGAATATAACCATCCTGGGTCTCGGAGATACTGATACCCCAGTACCCCAGTATCTCACGTAAATTAAGCGTAATTTTTCCACCTTTAATACACCATAATTTAACAGAACCAATTTAGGAGGTTTGACATAACAGTGTAGGGAAGTGATTCTATAAAATTCTGAGCAGAACAAAAGTGGCAATCCTCTCATGTGAAATCAAGCCCTAAAACAAACAAACGCACCGGGTGATATAGCCTCCAGTGGGCCCCATACCATTTTGATCGACAATGATTCTTGGGCCGTCACCTCCGCCTCGCATGTCTTCATCCTTTAGCTGCTTTGTATAATCATCCTTCTTTTTCACCCTGAAATGAATCGATGTGAACATTGCTTGATCAAACTGACAGTCAATTTTAGGAACGATGACGTTAGATGGGATATCGAAGTTAGGGATTAACAAATCAATTCGCGTTATATCTTCCAAGGGCAGTCAGTGTTGTCAGTAACAGTACACAGGCTATGCAAGACGCGCTAAGCCACTTGACATTGGAAGTTGCTCAGTGTAGTGTACTGCTGCAAGATTGGCACGATCACTATCACCATTTTCCTACAGCGTAATATGGAGAAGCGAACTTAACGGATCACTGCCGGATTAATGCCTACAAGGTTAGTGGTAATATTCAAGGTGGACAGGGATTGAATCTAGTTTGAGGGAAGGTACACAATCGAACTTTGCACACATCGTTTCAAGCATTCTGGCCTGATAAGAAATGACAACAAAAACGCCACTGCTGTCGGTTCGCTGCCATGTCCTTCAATTTTTCCAACCAATCAGTTACGGAGTCTTTCGGACCCCAACCTGGAAGGCCTGAGACACCTACTCTACCTAATGCCTCTGTGCGTTTCTTCATGCCTCGCCTCCATTCCATCCGTTGACCTCCACGTGGTTCGCTCCAGTGACGTTTGCCAAGGCTGGTAGCGGTTTGAAAAACGTCAAGGGTGGTCAAACTAAGACCTGGCATGAGGGTATGAAAACCCTAACCAGATTAGGTCACATAGGCCCCGTTAGGCTCCCTGGCTGTGGACCTCGGGATGATGGTCACCGATGGTTAGAGACACTGAGTGATATGGCTGTGTCGCAAACAGTGGCCCTCGTGCATTCACTCATTATTCCCCCAACACCATTCCATATGAATTCTCTTCCGCTTGAATCTGCTGTCAACATTTCAATCTTCATTCTGCTCTTTTATCCAANTATCCAAATGCGCAACCAAAACCGACGCACGGGAATGCATGGTTAATGGTTGTAAAAACTGAAACCGAAGCTGAAATCTGCGACATGAACACCATAATCATCATCACATCAAATACCTATCTTTTTCCGACAATTTTTGTTTTCACAGGATCGCTAGCGTATGCTGGGGATATCGCGTGAGCAATGACGTAAAACGACGTGTATTAAAGGAAAACAATCTTTTGTGAAGCCATTTACTGCACCGTCTAAGCTGACCGGGGTACACTCTATAAATACCCAGTCTGACCTACAGTGCAAGCATTGGACCAGACTGGAAGTAGTAGCAAAACGAGCAACCTAAGATGTGGCGAAGAGGATTGAAAAAAATTTCGTATCTGAATTCCGTCGGGGCATCCCGGCTACGACGGAGTGAGACTCACATTGACATTGACTGGAAACACTACGGTACATTGCACTGAATTGAAAGCAAGGGTTTAAGTGCGCTTTTAGATATTTGCAATCCCCAGAATAAAATCTGTGTAAGCAAAAAAATGTTTCGACACTTTTACCACACCTAAAATCGACCACTTTTTCAGTTACGCACTTTACTTCGGTGCCGTATCTGCACAGATAGGGACAATATACATATACATACGTCCGAAATAATGCCCCAATAAGGAGATGCTTATCTGCTCAAAGGTCACTGCTTTGACTACCAGCATGAACTATCACTCTTTGTTGCTTTTGTAGTCGCAAACACCCTATCCAATTTACATTACTATAAACGAGTAAATACGATTCGTTTAGTTTCACACTCGAAGAACCCCATGCATTCAATGCACAAATGAGTAAGAAAACCTCAAATTGGTGCCAAGGAAATACTGTGTGGCTTAGCGATAAAGGCATCACAAACTAACAACAGTGAGTGCTCACTTGTTCCACGGTAGCACACATAAACCGCAGCATTTGTTCAGATCATCCAAATTCTTTTCCGCGTCCTTCATATCTTGATTAATTTGATCCATGCCTTCATTAATCCGATCCAGTTGTTCTGACAAAGGAAGACAACAATATCAGAGGTGAATCGGATGTCACATAAACGACTTTGAACGGCAAGTTACAACGATCAGAACACGACATGAATCAAGATAAAAGCTTTGAAATAAGTGTCCTTTTCTCACATTTTGTAACGCAGATAATTACTGGCATTACATCGAGAAATACAGACAAACCAACTCTTTCAACTGATAAATTTGGCATAGTGAGGAGCAAACGGGGAAATGAGTAATTTTAAGACGGATGCAATCGAGGAGTGAGTGAATAGAAAAAATATTATCCCTATTGAGTAACAAGTGCAGTAAAGTATATACATAGAAATTATGTAAAATGGATGACATGTGTGGTGTCGAGGAGACAGACGTAACCATGTGCACAATAAGGACTCCGCTGCACTGTTGTACTCGCTGTTTCAACGAACTCCGCAACTCGAATGAGCATGCGGAGGTAGCCTAAAGCGCTGTCGCCAACGATAAGACACTCAAACTTAAGGTTCCATTTCAATGCTTACAGCCTGGATCGTGGTTCGTACGCTCCAATTTGTTCCTGGCAATGACCGAGAAACAAAAATTATTTCGATTAGGGTCGTGCGGTACATGAAAGCGAAAGGAAGGCTTAATAATCATGACACTTAGATATGAACCTAACACAGGAATTAGATAGATGACTTGTGGACCCTAATTGAAAACCCAACCCGGATCTACATTGTTAACGGTTTTATATCTTTAGTAGCTTCTCTTTATAAGAGAAGTCTCTCAGCTACCACGTGTTTCAATAAAGATGATCAATGTAAGAAGCATATTCGGAGACGTGAAACGCGCTCCAACCATTAAAATATCAAAAAGGCACAACGCAGAATGCAGATCACAACGATCAATGGAACCATACAAAAAGTACGAACAGATTGTCGGTCTATACAACACACCCGGAAAACAATGGCATAATCTGAATGGACGAGACAACGTATTATAGCATACGCCACAACATAAAGTAGTGGAGAAATTCGTCAAGGGAAACGTGCACTATGGCTTACCACCCTGATCATCTAGCATGACTAAAGTGGAGATTCCGGCTTCTTTCGCCTGAACAGAGTAGAAATGGCATAGTGAACAACAAGCGATATACAAATCAAAAGATAGTGCATGAGTGAATCACTCACCTCTTCACACAGGGCCATCATCCGACGGGACGCCTCCAAAGACTACAGAAGAGAAACAGTTGGAATGTAGAAGCTGTGATCTTGAAACAGTAATAAAAATCCATGTGACGAACAACAACAAAAAATCCATCAAACGAGAAATCCTTCAGTACCAGTAGTGCATGTGAGTTTGAGTTTGAGCTGCGACAAATTACAAAGGTAGTGAAATCAATCAGCGAACTGTTTCGAGACTACCAGCACTAGTTTCACATGGAATGTTCTGCGGCTTTAAAAGACAAATTATAAAATGCGATACCACGGCAGAGGATAAGAGCGATGAGTATGATGTTGTAACACAGGAACAGATAGACCGATAGCGACATAAACGCTCGATCACAGAAACGAATCCGCGGTCATTGGTAGTCAACCACCTAGCCCAAAAATAGTATTGTTCACGTTATTCAGAAGATCTGCTCATAATTGTTTCATTTTTCGAACTTTCACTTGAAAAAGAAATGGACAATGCTACAACTGTTATGCAACCGTCTCTGTTTTGCAATAACATTCTAACCTTTTATATGAGAGATTCTGCTATTACGGTGTTCTGGTTGTCTATTCAACTACATGGATTTCTCTTAATTAATTCATACTAATATCTGCCGCTCTCACGCTAGTTCGCAGTCCAGTCAACACGAATTCGACCCACTTGAGTGGTCCACTGGTTCGTCACCAGGTAAAAGCACCATCTCTTTGATGCACCACCAGATCGAGGTGTAATAGACACGTACGCTTGACTCTGTCCAAGTCTATGATTCAGTGGACTGGACCCGAAAGAGAACGGTTTTGACAAACTGAGCCGTGTGTAAAAAGTAGATGACATTCATCAGCAAATTCATGAGTCTTTTCAACATGTGCACGCAATCCGGTTTAATAATACCAGGTCTCGAAAAACTATCTGACGTAGTCCTACTGAGCCTAGCCAATGATTCCCATCAAAACAAAATTTAACTGTCCTCCTGACCCTGAAGGGTGTCATGACCCCTGACCGCCTACAGCTATTCACAACCCTTGGTTACATTTTATTTGCTCCTGAATATCGTTTACTTTATGAGCTGCTTACTCACACGTAACTGAGTGTAAAGCGACCAATTCTTGAAAAAAAACTATAAGAGTGCGAACAACAGTGGTACACTACATGCTGAAATTAGATTAGAAGCGCAACTAGATATTTATAAGACTACGACAGAAAGCGAAAATTGATCCTGCCAGGTGTCCTGCTTATTGATACACTTCCGCACGATGTGTATTTGTAATCTTTCGAGAAAGAATACCAGAAAACGGGACACTTAGAATGAAGAGGAGGACAAAGGGATGGATCATTATACAAAGGTTACCAAGAGTTACATGAACAAACAAAACACCAAAGAATGTAAGTTGTGAAATCAACGAAACGTGAGTGAGGGTTGATAGACATGGGCGCAAACTCTAACGATTTTTTTCAAGAGACCGAGAAATACAACTATAAAATAAAATGGGAATAATCCACCGCTTCAAAACCTAGGAAATAATCCTTTGGGAGGTTTGGAACTAGCTGGGTACTCGTATCTGGAATTGTAAACGCCCTAATTTTTCAATATAGAATTGTAAATGAGAGGACCATACATGATCGTTTATTATTACTTTTAATTACTTGATGGAAATCACTATGAATAAAGCTATATTATAGATTATTGAATTCATATGTTTAATCCACACGTGTCTGAATGCAGGAGAAAATACATTTTACATATTTGGTTCAGTTAGGGCTCAAACCACGAAGGGGAACAAGTTAATGGTCAGCAAATCAACAATCGCCTCTGAGTAGGAAAATCGGTCCTGAAACTATCATGATCATCACCATTTGATCGCCACGTGATAATTGTCACCAGGATCATTTGGTCCTATTTCCACCACTTAAGCATTTCATTAGTCAAACCTCATGCGAACTCCGAGTTGCATCACATCGCCAATCTTCAATCAGTTATCTTGATTTGCGTTCTATTCGTCAGCTGCTCAAGTGTGCAAGAAATACGAAATCCCACTAGAGTCAAATTTTGTTTACTGTTGGTCAATTCAGAACCAATATTGAGCAAGGCGCTCTAAGAGAAACCAGTAGTGGTGTTATTAAAAGATGGAATATAGAAAATCATGGGCACTGGGGAAAACATTTGTTACAGTTAAGTGAACCTTACTGGTCGTTGTAAAGCTCAGTGTGTACGAAGTGCATATGAGCATGTAAGGTAAATAAAGAATGAGAACACAGAATAAACAAGTATAGTCAATAAATGATATCAAACAATAATGGAAGCACATTAAAATTTAACCTCCAAAAAAAGATAACAGGAACTTGACTATTACCGGTTTGTCACCTTATCTTTCAATGTCATCAACATTGAAAACCTTCAGGTGACTGATGTCTCGCAACCATGGAACAGAAATGATTGAAGTGTAGCATGATAGTGTGGTACATTAAAATACCATCAGACGTTCCAGTCTGATCTATCCTATGAAAGAGATGGTGACAGGTTCAGTAGATCATCGGTGCAGCATGGGTGACTAGCGAGCTATGAACGATATTGGTCGGGATGAACTACAGACATGTATGGCAGAGGGAAACCCGAACGGGTAACAATCAAAACGAAAATGATAAGAGATCAAAGGTAGTATCAGCCTGCAGACAGACTGGGTCCCACAGATGAGCGGACTCCCGAAAAACCACCAGTTAGCTTCCATGCAGGATCATTGACAAACACTCCGGAATAAATTTCACTACCCCCTCATTTGCAACTAGTGCATTCGTAAGAATTAACGCTTCAAACGGATCCCAAACATCAGCCCATTTGATCAATATTTGGGAGGTTTTCCAGCTGCCCGAGATGAAGACCTCAATAACGTCGGATTACAAGTTTTGCGCGGATTAGCTTCCGGTTATTCAGTACACGGATGTAAGAATTTTCGATTTAGTAATGATAGGAATAATACAGGATACGATCAAAACAAATGCAAAACAAATTACCAATCGAACTTTTTTTTAATTAGATTATCAAATACAGAATTTAGTCTACAATCGCGTTAAAGTAACAATTTTTGTTTACCTTTTGGTCAATCAATTAAATGAGGTTTATCCACTTTGTGATGTGCATGTGTTTATTACCGGTTTTCAACGTGCACCATGAGTCCCGGAGCTGATAATGAAAATTTGTCCAAGTTGGTGGCAGACAGTTTGATCATGGTATAGGTTTAAGGGAGCTTGGTTTCAGACAAGGAGGATTAAACAAGGGACCTCACATGTCGATCGCACACACAGTGCCAACTTCATTACCAAACACATCGTCAAACTGCTTCGCTTCATCTATTTGAAAATGCAGCACAAGTTTATTGCTAAACTAACCCTGACTATCTCACCAGCTCCCAAGGAATTGCGGCTCGGTTAAAATTGATCCGTGGTTGTGAACGGCATTTTTCCTCTGCATACAACGATATCCGTCTAATAACCACTTATCTCGAAACTGAACAAGACCCATAGGTGCACTGCTCAAGCAGTGATCGGCGTTCGTTTTTGTATTACGCATGTACCGAGTGTTTTCTCGTTTCTGAGCAACGGCAGGGCAAAGATCGGAAACGTGTTTTTCCGCCGTTGGATAATCATGACCTTGAGAACACAACCCTCGAAAAAAATAGTTTATGCTGAATTAAATACTTTTAGTGAAAAGGTCAACACCGAGTCCATGGAGTTGGCGATTTCTATACGAACGGAACTTGACAGTTTTCAGACAACAGTATCTCATTTAAAACCCAAAAAGGTTGGTTAAACAGCCGAGTGAAGGACTTGAGTTAGCTCAGTTCGATGAATGATCAGCAGTAAACAACAACGAACTGCACCCTTGGTGAAGTTGTTAGAACCTTCATCAATCTACAAAGATAACATACGAGATCGCTAACAAACTGAAGTGAGGAAGTCAGTGCTGTGCATAAAAAAGATCTCATAAGTTACAGACTGAGTTCTAATTTGAGTGAGTAAATGAATAAATCATCACAGTGATGAAATGTCACCTACTCGTTCTCTTATAAAAACACTTAAATGACATGGATGCTAAGTTGGATATACCACACTTGTAGCAATGCTCCATCAAGAAACCGAACAATCTGAGTGCTTAGTTAAAACGTGATGATTATGTCAAATGGACGGCATACAACAAATCGTGTTCTGATTACTGCTCGTAATGATGACAAGATCGACATCAGTATCAAAAACCCACGTGGAAGTTAAAGACTACTGAACACTTAATTTACTCATCAGGTATACCATCATAGAAACACCGCGAAAAGGGCTGGTAATAAATTCTAGACAGCATACAACTGGGTTAAACTCTCGCTTACTAACCTCCGCGGTAGTTTCATCAATTTTACGATGAAGGAGCTCAACTTCAGTCATCGGCCTGATAGTTCCATCATCCAGGCGAACCTCATCCGGTCCGCATGGTGGCAAGTTCCGCGATAACTTACGAGGCATAATGTACAACGTGGAAAGTGGGCCGTCTAATCACAAAACAAGGCGTTGGCTAAGCACAGCATACTGCGTTCACATTGCGTTCGACTGGAGAATAATCCAAATGAAAACTAATTACATACACAATGGGATTAATATTGGAACAATCCACGTTGACATGGAAACAAAATTATGAGCTCCTTCATCTACACTATTTCGTGACGCAGTTTGTGAATTAGTAAAGTGACCTTTTATTGGAAGTGATAGTCTTAGAGCGCAGACTCAGTTGATTGGCCGTTGATGACTGTGGACAGACATGGTAGACATCCCATTGGTCGAAATCGCAGGGAGTGAAGTCGTGCGCGTGCGAAGGGTAACACGTGCTTCGCCGCACAGTATGATTGGTGACAATGCCAACAGAATGACCGAGACATTCTCAATTATCCAGGGATTATTTGATGCGAAATCTTAAGGATCTACGTCAAATTTAATTAAAGTGCTCGATTGTATACACAGTCGAAAACGTTCAGTAAACAAGCAAAACAAAAATTATTCCCTATACAAACCTGATCGTTTTTGTTGTTTTTTGCTCTATTTCTGTATTATCGTTTCAATCCGCTTATTTAAGCCCGGATCTGTAAACATTGGATATACGCATTGTCTACGGAGTAAGAGTGCCTGTGTGCCAAAGAACTGAACAAAAATCTGAAACAGATATTTGGGGTAGATTACCGTACTAGAAATAATGGTTCTGGAC